TTATATTAACTTCCTTTAGTTGCCTGAGTCATCCAATCACAATTTTTCTGCAAGTTTTTTGCATCAATTGTGTGCATATCTCTAGCCATAGGTTCTTCCTTAAAGGGACACTATAGTCACTAAAACAACTGTAGCTTAATGTAGTTTAGCTGTAATGTAATAGAGTTTAATAAATCCCTGCAGGCATTTTCATGTAAATACTGTCTTTTCAGAGAAAACCAATCAGAGAGTTATGAGTCAAATTATACAGCATGGGAAAATTCCAAATAACTTTTCCACGCTGTGTAAAATGACACAGTAGTGCTCTGGATTTCAAGCCAACCAATCAGAGTGCGGTGACAGGTAAATTTAGAGTCTTAGAGACCATCAGAGCGCTCTGAGCCTAATTGCAGGGGGCGTGGGAAGTTTCCCCGCTCTGCGGAGCTCATTCTGTGCCGTGCCCTCCATGGGTGAAGATGGATTCCTTTTTAGCGTTGTTTTTTTTTTGTCATATTTTTCTTTTTTTGGCGCTCTGGTTTTTTTATTTTATTTTCTAAGTGTGACGGGTAGACATCAAATGGTAAGTTTTACCATGGGAGCTGGGGGGAGCACAATAGGCCCCTCCTTATTGTTATTTAGGGCCCCCACCCACCGCTCAGGGGTGGGAGTCAAGGGGGGCAATAGGTTCAGTTTAATAGACCCAAGTCACGCGGCATGGGTGGGTGCTCACAGGGCCGCCATCAGAAATTGTGGGGCCCCTAACACAGCTCAAGGTCTGGGCCCCTGGGTGCCCACCTCCAAGCCCCTCCTCCAAATCCCGCCAACAGGAATACACAGACACACACACAGAAAGATACACACATACTAATAGGCACAAATACTGAAACAGACATACACACATATAGACACATACACAGTTACAGATACACACACATACTGACATACACACACACATACATACATACATACATACTGACAAACAGACATACATACAAACTGACATACATACACATAAATACATACACATACATACTGATATACATACATACACACACAGATAGCTATATACATACATAGATACATACAGACATACTGACATACACACACAGACATACATACTGATAGATATATACATACACACATACATACATACTGACATACACACAGACATACATACATACATACTTACACACACACAGACATATATACATACTGACATACACACAGACATATATACATACTGACATACACACACACACAGACATATATACATACTGACATACACACAGACATACATACTGACACCCACACACAGACATACATACTACATACATACATATACACACACACACACACCCTTCATTTATCAGCCACCCTCCTTTTACCTTTAAGTTGCAAGAGGGTGTCCTCTCCTGGCCTCCGCTCTCCCGCTCCTCCGCTCTCCCCCCGCGCGGAGTACACTGGGAGGAAGTGACCGGCCGTCACTTCCTCCCAGCAGCATTTGCGGTGCAGCCACAATTTTTTTTTTAAAGGGGCCCGGTCACGCAATTATCCGGCCGCAGTGCTGACCGGGCCCCTGAAGATAATAGGGCCCATCGGGTGGCCCTAAATGCTGGACATATTAACACTATGTATGAGGACATCCAGCAACATCCAAAACTCCATAGGAAAGCATTGTTTATAAAACCTTTTGGCACCAAGGAGAGACAACAATACATTGCACCGGTCAGCCTCAGGGGGTAGTGAAGTGGAGAAATGGGAGGGGGAGAAAGAGACAGAGGGAGAAGAGAGAAACACAGGGGGAGGGGGAGAAAGAGACACGGGGGAAGGAGAGTGAGACAGAGGGGTAGTGGGAGAGAAAAAAGGGAAGAGAAAAGACAGAAAAGGAGGGGGGAGACAGGAGGAGAAAGAGACAGAGGGGAAGAGAGAGACACAGGAGGAGGGGGAGAAAAATTCAGAGGAAGAAGGGAGAGAGGGACAGGAGGAGGGGGAGAAAGAGACAGAGGGGGAAGAGAGAGACACAAGTGGAGGGGAGAGAAAGACAGAGGGGAAGAGAGACACACAGAGACGCAGTGAGGGGGAGAATGAGGCACACAGGGGCTGCGGGAAGAAAGAGGCACACAGAGGAACTAGGGGGAGACAAAGAGACTCACAGAAGGTTTGTTGGGGGAACAAAGAGACATACATAAGGGAAGGGGACAAAGTGAAACACAAAAGGTTTGTGGGGGGCAAAGCTGGGCTGGGGGAGATAGATGCACACAGAAGGACTGGGGGAGACACAAAGAAGGTTTGTTGGGGGGACATAGACACACACATAAAGGGCTGGAGGGAAAGAGACATACCGAGGGCTGGAAAAGGGTAACAAGAGACACACAGGGGCTGGGATTAAGTAAAAGATACACCAGGGGAGTTGTAAGAGACACAAAGGAGAAAAAATTGGAGACAAGACACACTAAACAAGGTAAAAACAAGTGAATAAGAAACACAAAAAACGGCAAGAAATTCAAAAGGGGGTTAAAACACAAGAATGCACAAAGATGCATTATTTTTGTGTGTGTTTGGGGGAGGGGAGGGGAGTGCATGTTCGCCGGTGCTGGCGCGACACATTATTGGGCTGGTATAGAATTTTTTCCAGGGCTGCTTTTAGTTCCCAGTCCGGCCCTGCAATTATAGGCACAAGTTCTGAGAAAAAAAGACATTGAATTGGATAAAACAGGAGGGTAAACTGACCCTTTAATTAGAAAAAAACAAAACATGTTTACATATATATATATTATGTCTATGTATCCCCTTAAGACCGGAGGGCGTACTATTACGCCCTATTTTAGGCGGCTCTAAACGCCGCCAGGCATAATAGAACGCCCTCCGGTCTTTCTTTACTTAGCCGGTCGCCGGGGGTCCCACGCCGGCGATCGCGGTTGGGGGGACTCCCAGAGAGCCCCCCGCGGCACATCTTCACTCCAGCAGCCCCCCCGGCCATGTGTGAGTGAGGTCCTTGCGAGGACCTCACAATCACATGGCTGGCTTAGCTGCCTGCTGCATTGCCAGCAGGGGGACTGCCTATAATGACAGGTGGTCCCCCTGCTGGCTGTAAATAAAGTTAAATAAAATTAATTAAAGTTTAAAAGTGTTAAAAAAAAACATTATATACTTAGATCATATATATAATATATATATATATGATCTAAGTATATATATACACACATATACATACACACACATATACTGTCTAGGTGTATTTTACTATTAATATATATATAATTATATATATATTAATATCAAATTACACGTAGACTGATACTGATTAAATATATATATAATTATTGTTATATATATATTTATATATAATATAAAAAAATATGTAAAATAATTAAAAATAAATAATTAAAAAATATATAGATGTGTGTTATTTCGTTCTAACTGTATTCTGATATTAATATATATATATTTATATCAAAATGCACGTAGAACGAAATAATATATATATCTATATACATAAATATATACGTATATATCACTATATATATACCTATATATAAATAAAAATATTTTAAAAAAATTATATATATATATATATATATATACATATATATTCACATACGTATATATATATATACATATATTAATTCTACATATATATTTATATAATATTTTTACATAATTAGGTATCTTAATTAATTACAATTAGCGGGACCTGCCTGACAACCCATGCCGAAAGTAAAGGGAATTTAATTTGCTAGCACTATATTTAACCCTATAACTTTCCAAGACACCATAAAACCTGTACATGGGGGGTACTGTTCTACTCGGGAGACTTCGCTGAACACAAATATTAGTGTTTCAAAACAGTAAAATGTATTACAATGATGATATCGCCAGTAAAAGTGACGTTTTTTGCATTTTTCACGCACAAACAGCACTTACACGGACGATATTATTGCTGCGATACTTTTTACTGTTTTGAAACACAAATATTTGTGTTCAGCAAAGTCTCCCGAGTACAACACCCCTCACAGGTTTTATAGTGTTTTGAAAAGTTACAGCGTCAATATAAGGCTTGTGTTTCATTTTTTTCACATTAAAATTCGCCAGATTGGTTACGTTGTCTTTGAGACCCTATGGTTGCCCAAGAATGAAAATTACCCCTATGATGGCATACCATTTGCAAAAGAAGACAACCCAAGGTATTGCAAACGGGGTATGTCCAGTCTTTTTTAGTAGCCACTTAGTCACAAACACTGGCCAAAATTGGCGTTTTTTGCATTAACTTTGGCTAGTGTTTGTGACCAAATGGCTACTAACAAAGACTGGACATACCTCATTTGCAATACCTGAGGTTGTCTACTATTGCAAATGGTATGCCATTATGGGTGTAAATTTCATTCCTGGGCTACTATAAAGTCCCAAAGGCAACGTAACCAATCTGGCGAATTTCAATTTCAAATATAACGTGCTATATTTGACCCTGTAACTTCCCAAAACGCCATAAAACCTGTACATAAGGGGTACTGTTTTACACATGAGACTTTGCTGAATACAAATATGTGTATTTTATTGCAGTAAAAGCAAACAGTATTATGACATTGACAGTTAAAATGTCATGTAGAACTAAAAAAAATTTTTCGTATTAAATTATGTTTCATAGCTAAATATTTGATATTAAATGAAAGCCCTGTTTCCCCTGAATAAAATGATATATAATAAGGGTGGGTGCATTTACTATGAAAGAGGTGAATTACGGTTGGACAGACATGTAGCACAAATGCCAGATTTTGTTTACATTTTGTTTCGTTCACAACGTGTACATTTGGCTCCGTCCTTAAGGGGGTATATTAACTCTTTCAATTCTAGAAGTTAAAAAAAAAATTACCTATGAAAGAATGAGAACTACAGCTACAATTCCAGGTAATGTTCAGATGAATAACATGTTGTTCACACATTTCTCCAGTAGGTGGCAGCCCAGGTTCTTTCTAAAAAGCAAATTGGTCAAAAAACCCTGGAAAACCTTTCATTCAAGTGTTATTTCAAAGTAGCATATGGGGTCACATTTAGCATCATTGTCCATTAAGATGGGGGTGCCTGGACTCAATATACTCTCCTTCTGTTCTCAATGCAGACCTAACATTGTTTTTTCATGTTTGCATTTTTTTTTCTGATTTTGTTATGGTATGTGGTTTTGGAAGCTCCAAAGCTCATTCTTGTAGACATTTCGGTTGTGTTTGTCCTTGTGGGCCTTCATTCTGGAGCTACTATAGGTTATGTTACCACTGACTATCACCTGACCTCATCTATCAATCAAACAGCACAGCTAGGAAGACAAACCCATACGGTTAAGTAACTCTGGCAATTCATTAAATATTCATTTAATTCATTGCTAGCGACAAGTTATCCAGGAAACCTTTTAAATCTTAAATGATAAGTATTTTATCCTCAGGGTGTGAAGAGATATAATCAAATTATCTGGTTTTATTCTGATATCTTGAGGGATTCAGAAAAAAACAAGCAGCGTAGTAAGAATTATTAGAATTACATTGCTGGGAGCTGCAATTTTACATAAAACCGGGTTTTGCATTTTAATTAATGAGGATATTGAATTGCTTTAAAATACCAGCTATCATTTGCTCACCTGCAGTATAAGTCTACGCTTTATTGAACAATAATTGCTGTTTATTTTTTCGACATATGTGCTGGTCAGATAATTTTGCTAAACTATGAATCATGAAGAATTGATAAGGACTTTCTTTTGGTCAAAGTGGCTGAATTGGGGGGAAAAAAAACTTTTAATTTGTGAAATTTGCTGTCAAAAAAAAATAGAACAACAAGCTGGGATGGATGGATACATTGATGAATGGATGGATAGCTAGGTAGACAAACAGAAAGATGGACAGACAGAAAATCCTGTACTAAAAACAATGAGTACTTTTAAAACATTACATGATTTACAATGTGACATAGATCAATGCCAGGACCACCATTTTGTGATTCCTTTGTCCTAGCTGTGAGGTGTGTAGTGAGGTGCATCTGACGGGAAGCACCTATCCCTGATGGACGTGTGTCTCTTGACGTCATGGGTGACCTTCAGGTGGAGACTGACGAATACAAACAGTAAAATGAAGTAACATGATATGACAAAGTAAATGCATGAAACATTATTAAACTAAAGGAATATCATTTAGACTAGAATGCACAAGGTTCTGTGCAAATGTGCCAGGACGACAGACGAGGGTTGTCTAAGGGCGTCACCCGGCTAACTTAAACACGAAAACTCTAAATAATGGACTAAACCTAGGATGAATCCTACGGACGTCTAGTCTGGTAATAGAGTATCCTATTAGTCAGTGGATATACAGATATAGTGATAGGACATATAGTGCATAATTTAATTATATAAACATGACTCACTGTATTTATATTGTGCAATGTTCAATTGTTCTTTTATACTCATTAGGAAATCTGTTGAGAAAGTGATTTCAGTTACGGCAAACATTTACATTTTTTGATTTCTCCTCTTATTTCTCTTGTTTATCCACTTAACAGTAAATTTCAAATTCAGTTATTTTGGTCAAACATTTGCTTCAGTTCACTGTTTATTGAATTTGCCCCAAGAACATGTTTTTCAGGTCCATCAACTTTAAAATATGCATTTTCGAAAAAACATTTAAGAAGACTGAAATTTGTATTAAGAAATCTGAACAATTGTGGGGGCTTCTCAGAGCACACAATAACAGATCCTATTGTTTGTGCTATTTATCACAGACATCTGATGTCCAAGTAGTTTCCAAAGCTGTCTTAATATAATCTCAATTTTTAAATAATGAAACCTGTACTTTTATTATTAATATTAGTATTTCATTTGAATCACTTCGTGCACTAAGAAAACATTTATGGGGATGACTGAATCACGAAGCACAGCTTATTCTTCCCTATATTTATAATAACTGCTGAAATTTATCACCCTAGGAGCTCTCACTGGATGAGCAGTAACATTTCTAAACCCAACTGCTACGATTTCCTCCAACGAGATAAGGCAGAAGGTACGAGAGGATTAAGGGACCTCTGTATTTTCTGCAAATTGTTTATTCCAGATCTTGGAAAAATAATTTAGAATACCTGAAAATACTATTAGATAAGTGCTTTTGAACACTAGTAAACCTTTCAAAAGGACAAGTCAAGCTGAAATATCTTCACATCAGACTGATGCATGTTGTTACAGTGAAAAAAAACTGATGGACTCATTCATGAGGAGAAATACTTTTACTAATAATTGTGAGTTCATGCATCGTATCAGTAAAATATAGAAATGCAGCATTTTGGGCATGCGCCAGGGCTATCTTTTTCAATTTTAAAACACTAAGCCTGAGTGTAAGGTTACTGTGTGTGTATATAGTGTATAATATGATATACATTCACACACTATTTATTTGCAGAAGAAAATAAAAATATATTAAGTCTCCTAGTGCTTTGAAACATTCCGATAGACCCATGGGGTTGGAAAAAATAAAAACCTTCTTTATAAGAAGACATTTTAATAAAAAAATGTGAGGAGTCTTTATTTTCTCATCTTATTCATTTGCTTTATTTAAGTGGAAATAGCGTATTGCGTAATATTCTCTGCTTATGAAAGATCCAAGGATGTCTCCAAGGTCAGCCGAGTCCAAGTCTTGACATGTTTGGCCCTTGAGTCTGTTGGAGATATTTCTGCAGTAAAAAATGGATAGTTCAATGCGATTGGGTAAGAATGCTCGCAATATTTTTTTAGATCATTCCAGCCAAAAACGGGGGTAGAAACAATCCGATAGTTCCTAACAAACAGACTATGATAAACATCCAAAGAAATATTCGGTCAATCACCATCGCAACATATTTCCAATCTTCTTTTACCTGTAGACAAACAACAGATACAAAATGTAAAAACATAAATTGTGGTGATATCTTAGTTCACATGTAGAGGTTACACATTAATGTTATAACTTTATGCAATCACTCTTTCCTTGTTATATATCTCACAAGCGGATACAATGAGTACAGTCAAACGTTGCTATGATATAATGTGTTCGGGGCTTATTTTACTGAGTTTATGTGTGTTAGCACTTTATTTGTCGGGATATATTTCATCATGTGATCTGGCTCTGTCACCGAACAATGAAATTGAATTGAGAATTTTAGAGTTATAAAAGTGGAGAAATCACTGTCGGAATGTGCCTTTAGTTGTACAGGATTCCATTGCACCTCACATATAGGACTTTGCATTACTTTTCAAATCACACTGTATTTAAAGGGACACCATAGTCACCAGAACAACGACAGCTTATTGTATTTGTTCTGGTGAGTAGAATCATTAACTTCAGGCTTTTTGCTGTAAAAACAGTTTTTTTCAGAGAAAATGCAGTGTTTGCATTACAACCTAGTGATAACTTCACAGGCTACTCCTTAGATGGCTGTTAGAGATCCTTCCTGGGTCATGGCTGCCTAAAATGCATCCAAACATTCAGTATCTCCTCCCTCTGCATGCAGACACTGAACTTTCCTCATATAGATTCATTAATTAAATTCATCTCAATGAGGAGATGCTGATTGGCCAGGGCTGTTTTTGAATTGTGCTGGCTCTGCCCCTGATCTGCCTCTTTGTCAGTCTCAGCCAATCCTATGGGGAAGCATTGTGATTGGATCAGGCTACCACTTCTGATGATGTCAGCAGGCAGTGGGCAGGTCTAAAGAAAACATGGACAAAGTAAGCAGCTGCAGACTTGAATACAAGTAAGATTTATTATATTTAGGGAGGCATGAGGGGACCAGAGTGGCTAGCTGGTGGTTTTAACCCTATAGGGTCAGGAATACATGTTTGTGTTCCTGACCCTATAGTGCTCCTTTAATGTCTTTCATTGTATGTTTCTCCTCGTCCAATTCAATGTGTGCCATGTCGGTACCTGGACTCAACAAGAATGTGATTTAAATTACTAAATAGTTCATATGAATTTAAAAGAAAACAAAGCATCAAACAAAGGGTTAACACAAGTTCTAGGTGATATTTAATGTTTTGTTCAAAGGAGTAATTTTCAGAGAAATTTTGGTTCCCCTTTAATAATTACAGATCACATGGCACGGGATCACACAGATACATGAGCTGTGTCTTGCAGTACAGACAGAGCTGTGTCATTATCTCTTTTTACAGACATGAACAAATTCACTCTGCTCAGTCACAAAGACATAAATATACTTAAATATACACTGATATCCAGCTCTCTAATACTAATACTATTTGCTTTTTAACATGCTTCATTCAGTTTAATCACTTAACAACATTGGGATGTTCTATGCTGTCCCAATACTGTAACAATGGAAGATCCTAAGGTTCTGGAGTGAGCAGGGTTAAATCCCTGCACACACTAGGGAGACCCAGGTATCAATTCATTTTTTTTTCTTAGTTGCATTTGATGTGCAAAAATGACTATCATCAAAAGTATTAAAAAAATTCAAAATATGTCAATTTAGCATTTTAGGATATCTGTCATAACTTACTAAGTACTAGAACCAACTGTCAGGTCTTCGATAAAGATAAGTTTAAAATAAACAAATTAGTGACAATAGTTTTCTGTGAATGAAAGTGCCCATATAAACACAACAGTACTTACTGAAAAGTCAGCATCTTCAGCCCGTAAATGGTCTGCTATGTAATGAACTCCTTCTAAAGCCTTCAAAATGCTTGGGGACAACAAAAAATTTGGTTCAGTGGTCTGGAGGGGTATCTGACTTTGTCCACTGGATACCTGGTTGCTATAGTCATAGCGATACTGAAGACTGTGACTGTGAGACGACATATGTCGTATATGGCATGGGTGGAGCTCAGCCTCCGCATCTCCCCACTTCTCATCGACATCAGTCTCCATCCAGTATTTCGAAGTACTAAGCTTAAGTTCGGGTGTATCATATTGACTTATAACTTCTTCAACTGGGGGTGGTGGACGCTTCATGAAGAGCCATCTGGGAATGTAATCCAAGAAGACAGAACGTACCCACAGAGGCATCTTATGAGTGCTAGGTGATCGATGATGGACATTCAACACAAAAACAGTTATGACGATGGACAATGTGACAAATATCATAGTAAAAAGTAGGTATTCCCCAATTAACGGAATCACTAGAGAAGTAGAAGGGATGATCTCTGTAATAAGCAGGAGGAACACAGTCAGGGATAAAAGTACAGAGATGCAAAGAGTTATTTTTTCTCCACAATCTGAAGGAAGGTAGAAAACTAGAACAGTAAGGCAGGAGATCAGTAGACATGGGATAATGAGATTAATAGTGTAGAACAGAGGTAATCTCCTAATTATGAAATAATATGTGATGTCAGGGTATATTTCAGTGCAGCAGTCATATTTCTTTGAGTTGTATGTTCCAACAGCATTTACGAT